AATGTCAACATCATCTGTGTCCGGAGCAAGATATTTTGTCTCCTTTAAAAACAGCTGTTCCTCCTATTTAGTAGCGTACTTTATAAAACATAAGAGTGACGTTCTAGAGTGCTTCAAAAAATACAATAAAAAAGTAATAACAAAATTTGGACATGCAGTAAAAGTTTTACATGTTGACAATGGAACAGAATATACAAATTTGGATTTTAAGCTCTATTTAGATGAAAATGGCATAGAACTAGAAACCACTGCTCCATACAGTCCTCAACAAAATGGAAGAATAGAAAGGGAAAATAGAACTATTATGGAGAGTGCTAGATCCATGATGAATGCAGCTAAAGCTCCTGAGAACTTGTGGGCTGAAGCTGTTAATTATGCCATTTATATTCTGAACCGAACTTCGAGTAGTCAGACTCCCAAATCAACACCATTTGAAATTTGGAGTGGTGAAAAATCTAATCTGAAACACATTAAAATTTTTGGATGTGCAGTATACGTTTTGATCCCACATCAAAAGCGAACAAAATTAGCACCCAAAAGCAGAAGAATGATTCATGTTGGATGCGACAAAAACTCTACTAATTATAGGCTTTTTGATCCTGTAACGAAAAAAATTACAATCTCTAGAAATGTAACTTTTATTGAAAATGACTTGGGTTTTGAAGAAGACTCCATAATCCCAATATGTTTTGATGAAGATATCGATATTGAAATTCCAAACGGTTATCAAAATGACAGAAATGAAGAAGAAGCCATAATCAATGAAAATCAGGAAGAAATTATTGAAATGGCGAATCCACCTAACCTCAGACCTCAGAGAAATGTCAAATTACCAAATAGATTTGAAAATTTTGACTTAAACTTCGTAGAAAGTGATATTCCTGAGACATATGCAGAAGCAATCAAAAGTCAACAATCCAAAGAATGGAAAAATGCAATTTCTGAGGAAATAAATGCCTTAAATAAAAACAAAGTCTGGGAGGTGACAAAATTACCTGAGGGTAAGAATGTAATAGGATCCAAATGGGTTTTTAAAATAACAAGAAATTCTAATGGTGAAATTTGTCGCTACAAAGCAAGGTTATGTGCTAAAGGTTGTTCTCAAAAAGAAGGTACAGATTTTACAGAAATATTTTCTCCAACTACACGTTATGATTCCATTCGTGTGTTGTTAGCCATAGCTGCTCAAAATAGTTACAAAATTAAACAATTTGATGTAAAAACAGCCTTTTTATACGGAGATTTACTTGATGAAGTTTACATGACTATACCGGAGGGATTCAGTACAGACAATCAGGAAGAGGTAGAGAATAATATGGTATGCAAATTAAAAAAATCATTGTATGGACTAAAACAAGCACCAAGATGCTGGAATGAAAAGTTTACTAGTGTGCTCAAAAACTTTGGCCTTTCACAAACTGATGCTGACTTATGTGTGTTTAGAGGACTTGTTGATGGACTTAGTGTTCTTTTAGTGCTATATGTTGACGATGGACTTATCATGGCCAAATCTGACTTAGTAGCTGACAAAGTGTTGTATGAACTCAAAAAGAACTTTGAAATAACTGTAAGTGAAACTCTTTCTTACTTTGTTGGTTTAGAAATCAATTTATGTGACAATGGGACAATTTTCATTCATCAGAATAAATACATTAATCAAATTATTGAAAAATTTCGTTTACAAGATGCTTCTTCAAGTGACATTCCAGCTGATCCACATTCAATACTTACTAAAAATGTTGACATTGAAAATGCTTATGAAATTCCCTACCGTGAAGCTGTGGGCTCACTCATGTTTGTGGCTGTTGTGTCACGTCCAGACATTGCCTACTCAGTGGGAGTAGTGAGTCGCTATCTAAATAATCCTTCAAAAGCACATTGGAATGCTGTTAAAAAGATTATTAAATACTTGAAAGCAACCAGTCACTATGGAATACATTACTCAAAACAACATCATTTAAATTTAGTTGGCTATAGTGATGCAGACTATGCGAGTGATCAACATACTCGTAGATCAACCACTGGTTACATCTTTAAACTCAGCAATGCTCCTGTTACATGGTCAAGCAAGCGTCAGCATACCGTAACACTTTCGACTACAGAGGCAGAATATGTAGCAGCCTGCCAAGCTACTAAAGAAGCAATCTGGCTGAGACAACTTTTGGAGAACATTGGTGAAGATGTGAGTAGTCCTGTTCCAATTTACATCGATAATCAAAGTGCAATTAAGTTAATTCATAATCCAGAGTTCCATAACAGAACTAAACATATTGATGTTCAATTTCACTTTATTAGAGAAAAATATCAAAAGAGGGAAATTGAACCAATTTATATATCAACTAAACTTCAAGAAGCTGATATTTTAACTAAAGCACTCGCAAGACCTAGATTTTGGTATTTGCGGCAAATGCTGGAATTAAAATCAGTGGACAATATTTAAGTCTTTATTTTTACTATAATAATATGGATTGATGTTCTCTTTATTGTTAGAATGGTATTATCATTTATCTAATGTTTTAGTTTTCTCAATGTTATTTTGTATTTGTTTTTGATTTAGCATTCATTGGGTAAGCTTTTAAACTTTCAAAATGTGGGAGTGTTGAAAATGAAATTATGTTTTGTTTTGCAAGTTTAAAAGAAAAAGAATAATCATGTTTTCATTTTGTTTATAGAGTTGGCAACATTAGCGAACAGCCTGCGCGCTGTCAATGTGTCAATAAAATCTTAGGTTTTGATTTGGTTAAAAAAAAAAAGGAAACACCTATAGATTTGTTTTGATAAAATAAACGTTTAATAAGTAGTAAACTTGAGTGTATTCTTAACACGGTTCCTAAACCAAAAGTCATTCATTTTAATTTGTCAAAAAAATTGAATGTGTCATATGAATTAATCTACGACAGCCCTTTTTTTTCAAGTTTCAAGGTCAAGTATGAACCCTGGTGAAACGAACCTTAGGTATAAATTAATTAACTGCGTATTATACAGGGTGTTCCTAAATATCATGTACAAACGGCAAAGGGTGATTCTTTGTTTTTTTTTTTTTATGACTGAAATCTCAAATATGTTCTAAAAAATTGACTTTAAACAAAATTTGAAAAAAATCACCCTATTACATTTTAATTTTTTTCTGGAAAACTTGCAAGGGGAAAATTTTGAAATCTTTCCAGGAATAAGAGGAAAATGAGTAGTTCATTTTACAAAGATTTCTAAATTTTCCGGTAAAAAATCACTCCTGGAAAAATTTTGGAAAACTAACTTTTTTACGCAAAATTAAAAAGAATTCACCCTCCTACATTTTAATTTTTTTCTAGAAATCTGGCAAAAAGAAAGTTGTGAAATTTTTCTAGAAAAAAGAGAAAAATGAGGAGCTCATTATAGAAAAATTTCAAAATTGGAAAATCACTCCAGGAAAAATTTTGGGAGATTGCGTTTTTTAGGCAAAATTCACCCCCTCTTACATTTTTATTTTTTTCTGGGAAACTGGCAAAAGGAAAATTGTGAAAATTTTCCAGAAAAAATAGGAAAATAAAGAGCTCGAAATGTCATTTTGGTGATCAAGAACGAAATTTTTTTGAGGACGCGTAGCGGAGTCAAAAAATCAATTGAGATCACCAAAAACATTTTGCGCCCGAGTTGCAAACAATATTTTTTCTACAACTCTATTCAAATATCTATCATTCGAAGCCAAAATTGCATTTCCAATCAAAGGCAGGTGAATTTTAATTATTTTTTGGCATCCTGACAGGTATGTGTCACCATGACACCAGTGTGCGAACTAGCTAAAAACGTTAAAAAATCAATACCTGGGAAAAAAGTGTCACTTCGCAAACTGTCATGAGTCTGCGAACATCATCATTTTTTGACAGTTGTAGAAAAATTTTATTTCTTTTCTGAAAAACTGGCAAAGGAAAAATTTTGAAAATTTTCCAAGAATAAGAGGAAAATGAGGAGCTCATTTTACGAAAATTTCAAAATTTTCCAGTTAAAAATCACTCCAGGAAAAATTTTGAAAAACTAACTTTTTTAAGCAAAATTAAGGAGAATTTTCCCCCCTTGCATTTTAATTTTTTTCTAGAAATTTGGCCTAGGGAAAGTTATGAAATTTTTCTAGAAGAAAGAGAAAAGTGAGGAGCTCATTATAGAAAAAATTCAAAATTTTCCAGTGGAAAATCACTCAGGGAAAAATTCTGAGAAATTGATTTTTTTAGGCAAAATTCACCCCCTCTTACATTTTAATTTTTTTTTCTGGGAAACTGGAAAAAGGAAAATTGTGAAAATTTTCCAGCAAAGAAAGGAAAATAAAAAGCTCATTATAGCAAAATTTTAAAATTTTCCAATGAAAAATCACTCCATAAAAAATTCTGGAAAATTGACTTATTTAAGCAAAATTAAGGAAAATTCACCCTTACATTTTAATTTTTTTTCTGAAAAACTGGCAAAGGAAAAATTTTGAAAATTTTCCAGGAATAAGAGGAAAATTAGGAGCTCATTTTACGAAAATTTCAAAATTTTCCAGTGGAAAATCACTCCAGGAAAAATTTTTAAAAACTAACTTTTTTAAGCAAAATTAAAGAGAATTCACCCTCTTACATTTTTTTTTTTTTTCTACGAGTGCGCGGGAAATGGCTCTTCCCGCACGATTTGCTGTGCGGGAAGACTTTTTTCCCGCACCAGTGCGGGAAGAGTTTCAATAATCATTGTGACATGGAATTGTTTGTATTGTTGATACACCTATAATACCTTTACCTTTAATACCTTTACCTTTTTTTTATAAACACCTTTCAATACATTTTTAATTCTACCTTCTGCACAATCGCATTTTATTTAAATTAAACTTCTCGTAACATCAGCTTTAGTATGCTTGTAGAAAAAATATAGTTCCTAACTCTTGCGGGAAGAAATTTGCGGCACTCGTTAGGAAAATAGCTATTCTAGAAATCTGGCAAAGAGGAAATTGTGAAATTTTTCCAGAAGAAAGAGAAAAGTGAGGAGCTCATTATAGGAAAATTTCAAAATTTTCCAATGGAACATCACTCCAAGGAAAGTCGAGAGGAAAGTTCTGGAAAATTGACTTCCTTAAGTAAAATATATCCTTTCACATTTCAATTTTTTTCTGGAAAACTGGCAAAGCGAAAATTGAGAAATTTTTCCAAAAGAAAAAGGAAAGTGAGGAACTCATAGAAAAATTTCAAAATTTTCTAGTGAAGAATCACTCCAGGAAAAATTCTGAAAAATTGACTTTTTCAAGTAGTAGAAGTAGTAGAAGAGCTCATTTTACGAAAATATCAAAAATTTCTAGTAAAAAATCACTCCCGGGAAAATATTGAAAAACTAACTTCTTTAAGCAAAATTAAGGAGAATTTACCCTCTTACATTTTAATTTTTTTCTAGAAATCTGACAAAGGGAAAATTGTGAAATTTTTTCAGAGGTATGAGAAAAGTGAGGAGCTCATTATAGAAAAATTTCAAAATTTTCCAGTGGAAAATCACTCCAGGAAAAATTGTGGGAAATTGATTTTTTTAGGCAAAATTCACCCTCTTACATTTTAATTTTTTTCTGGAAAACTGGCAGAAGAAGACTTTGAAAATTTTCCAGGAAAAAGAGGAAAGTGAGAAGCTCATTATAGGGAAATTTCGAAATTTTTCAGTGAGAAATCACTCTAGGGAAAATTCTGCAAAATTGACTTTATTAAAGAAAATTCATCCTGTCACATTCCAATTATTTTCTGGAAAACTGGCAAAAGAGGAAAAAGAGGAAAGTCAGGAGCTCATTATAAAAAAATTTCAAAATTTTGCAATGGAAAATCATTCCAGGAAAAATTCTGGAAAATTGACTTTTTCAAGTAAAATTAAGGAAAATTCATCCTCTCTTATTTCAATTTTTTTTTTCTGTAAAACTGGCAAAAGAGGAAAAACATGAGTCAGGTGCTCATTATAAGAAAATTTCAAAATTTTTCAATGGATAATCGCTTCAGGAAAAATTCTGATAAAATGACTTTTTCAAGTAAAATTGAGAAAAACTCATCCTCTTACATTTCAATTTATTTCTGGAAAACTAATAAAGCAAAATTTTTCCAGAAAAAAGAGAAAAGTGAGGAACTCAATATAAGAATATTTCAACATTTTCTAGTGAAAAATGACTCCAGAAAAAATTCTGGAAAATTGAGTTATTTAAGTAAAATTAAGGAAAATTCACCTTTCACATTTAATTTTTTTTTTGGAAAATTGGCAAAGGGAAAATTTTGAACATTTTCCAGGAAAAAGAGAAAACTGAGGAGCTCATTATAGGGAAATTTTGAAATTTTCCAGTTAAAAATCATTCTAGGAAAAATTCAAAGAAAATTGACTTATTTAGTAGACAAAATTAAGGAAAATTCATTCTCTTACATTTCAATTTTTTTCTGGAAAACTGGTAACAGGAAAATTTTGAAATTTTTACAGGAGAAAGAGGAAAGTGAGGAGTTATTAGAGGAAAATTTTTAAACTTTTCAGTGAAAAATCACTCTAGAAAAATTGTATTTATATATTTTCAGATAACTGAATAAACTCTATTCTAAGTTAAAAAATGTATTACAAAACAATAATAACAAAAGACTAGTAAAATAAGTCTATATAATAACCAAAAAAAAACAAGAAATATAAAAACCAAGTTAAAACGAGGCTGGGGGCTACGCTGTCAATTTTACTTCACTTTTTGTTGGGGAAATTAGATCTACAGTTGACTGAAACGGTAAGCGAGTGTCGTTTCTTTCTTCGAAAACTGTTTTTTTATTTTTATTGAATCGGCTTTTATTTAGTGGAAATCCATTATCTAATAAAAAAAAAAATTAAGTAAATTTCAATACTTATATATTTCCACTAATTTGTGTTAGTGTAAAACGCTTTAGTGCAACAAAAATTAACAAATTTTCTATAAAAATTAGTTGATATATCCTTTATACAGTTGGTTTGGTATCAATTTAAGTGCGGATATTGACGTTTTTTGCCGTAGTAAGCGAATATTCACATTCACAATTACTTACACATAACCAGTAGATATTAAACCAGAAGATATTATAACCAGTAGATATTGAACGAACTGTAACTCAAACTAACCAAAAGTATGCAAACTAACCCGTCCACGTAATGCGTGCGAGTCCTTGTATGTTGATATTGAATTTAAAGGTAATTTTTGGGCTCTCGGAAACAGGCTATAGGGGGTTTTCTGATCAAGTTAATTTTTGGTACACATATATAGGACGTCAAAAGAAATTTTTCCAAAAAAAAATTGACCTTGACTGTGACCTTGATCCTGACCTTGACCATCAAATTCACGTAAATGGCAGTTTAACGTGCTGAAAACTTGTATAGTGTTGAAAGGCATCTCAAGTAACCTATATACCGAGTTTTAGCCTTCAAGGTCATACACATTCAGAGATACGGCAACTCCGCATTCTCAGTTTGGGCTCTCGGGAACAGGGTAGAAGGCGTAGTCCGATTGAGTTCATTTTTGGTATACATATTTAGGCCGTAAAAGGTAACAATTCAGTAAAGGTCCTTCAAAAAAAATATCATGCTTCTTCATTATAGATAGTTTAGTTTGATCCCAAAATATTGTTTTATGATCGAAAATGTTGGCGCAAATAATTATAAATTGGATTTTATAAATATTGAATGAATCCTCTTCACGACCTTTGACACAGATCAATATATAATATCTATTCTTATCAGCTTAATATCACAATCGCTCTGTTTAACAGATAAAAATTTAATAAACGTAAAAAGTATCATGTGGTAGATATTCGAATGAAGAGAAGAGCTAAGTGTTCAAACCATTTTTTGAAAAAAACATTATTGAGTAATGATTAAGCGTATAATATCTACTGAACTTTTGAAATTGGTACACTTTAACCGACAATAACTGTGCTATATCGAAACTGATCAAAAATATGCAAACTAACCCGAACTTACCCGTCTTTGTACTGCGTGCTAGTCCCCGTAAACCTATCTAATCGAGAATTACAAAATAATGCAAAACAACCCAAATTAACCCATTCTTGAAATGCATGCTAGTATCCTTGAACATTTTTATTTTATCTAGCTTGTCGCGCTTCGTTGTCGTTGTTAATCAGTACACTGTATCCAGTTTTAGATAAGTAATTAATATTCAATATCATGATGTTTCCTATTAAAAGTGTCCAAATTGGCCCACCCTGTACATAATTTCAGCGCGATAAATGGATACATTGTATGTATTTACGTGAATTTCACTGGTGAAGGTCACGGTCAAGTTCACGGCCAACAGCCAATTTTTTTTTGGGGAAATTTCTTTCAGCGGCCTTTATATGTATACCAAAAATGAACTCTATTGAACTACGCCTTCTAGCCCATTCCCGAGAGCCCAAACTGATAATGCGGGGTTGCCGTATCTCTGAATGTGTATGACCTTGAAGGTTAAAACTAGGTGTGTGGGTTATTTATGAAGCTCTTCGGCGCTATATATAATTTCAGTACGATAAATTGATATTTATGTGAATTTCACTAGTCAAGGTCACGGTCAAGGTCGCGGCTAAGGTCAATTTTTTTTTTGGAAAAATTTCTTTCAGCGGCCTTTATATGTAGACCAAAAATTAACTCAATCGGAGTATGCGTTCTACCCTGTTCTCGAGAGCCCTAATCATGCCAATTTAAAAAACAAAGCCCGCTTCACGCGTTGTGTTCTCAATCAGTACACTTATAACCAGTAGATACGAACTGTAACCAAAGCTAACCAGAAATAAGCAAACTAACCCAAGCTAACCCGTCCACGTAACGCGTACTACACCTTTTCCATATGTATTTCAGAGATCGTCAGTTTAATTTCAGAATGCGTCAATTGTATTTCAGAATAAATAATTTTATCTGGGAAAGAATCAATTGTATTTCAGATTAGTTTATTTTATTTCAGAAAGTGTCAATTGTATTTCAGATTGGTTAATTTTATATCGGAAAGCATCAATTGTATTTCAGATTAGTTGATTGTAGTTCAGAAAACGAGAATTGTATTTCAGAAATTGTCAGATGTAGTTCGGAAATTAGTAGGTATCTACGCAGATTTCCCCAAATCAACACAAGTTAGGTGTATAAGTGACTCATTATAAATTTTATTTAATACAACTACACTGATAATATCTGAAATACATTTGACGAATTCTGAAATACAATTTACAATTTCTGATCTACAAATAAATAATCTGAAACACAAATGACGATTTCTGAAATACAAGTGACCAAACTGAAATACAAATGACTTTTTCTGAAATACACCTGACGAATCTGAAACACAAATGATGTTTTCTGAACTACAACTGACAAAGTTGAAATACAAATAACACTTTCTGAAATTGAACTTACACAACTGAAATAGAATTGACGCATTCTGAACTAGAATTGATGAATCTGAAATACAAGTGATACATTCTGAAATACTTATGGAAAAGGTGTAGTCCTATGCAAACTAACCCAAACTAACACACCTTTAAATTGAACCACTTTGATTTATGGATTTTTCTTGAAAACTAATATAATCCGCATATTTTTATATTGAAATCGGTCCAAAAAGGCTAACTACAACATTAGGAATGCATCTGATAAGAAACTACGTGTTGCACTAAAGCGTTTTACCACCCTTTTAACATGTTTCGCTAAACTTTAGCTTCTTCAGAAAGATTTAAAAAAATTTAAATGTAGACTTATCTCTGACGTAGACATAAAAGTGAAATTGACAAATGTTTATTGAACGACCAATAGGGAACTTGACAAAAAATTTAAACATGAAAATATTACTATAAATCATAAGAATACATTAATTAAAACCTATATCAGCGAAAAAAACAATTTTTTTGTCGCAAACGGCCACAATAAGGAATTGAAAATGCAGAAAAATTCAAATTATTTCCAGCGGGAAAAAACGCTCTGGTACTGGTCGTGACGTCATGTAGTATGATTTGTCAGTGTCTGTCAGCAACCGTCCATCATACCGTGAGTTCGTCTTGAAACACTGAGCACTCGGAGCATTTTCCGTCTTTTTTTCTTATGATGAGAAGAACAGGGATAAAAGAACAAAACAGCAACTCCGAGCGTTCACTCGAACTCTACATAATAAATACCCGTTAGCTGTGTTTATTTACGTTTTTCTCTGATTTTTTAAAATTTTATCAATATTAGAATTGGTTTACTTCGCTTGAATTCAATGATTAGCTTAGCATTATATAAATAAAACGATATACCTATTAATTATGACCGAAGAAGGAAATTCCAAAGGGCAATCCGCCAATCTGTAATTTGTGATATGTTTATAGTAGCAAAAGTAAGTAGGTATGTATGTGAATCTTTTTTTCCATTATAACTTAAAAATTTACAACTAGCCGCAACCCAAAACAACAACAAAACAAATAACGGTGGAAAACAATGAACTATAGGTGGAAAATGTGGAAATCAACCAAATTAAATACAGTGAAATATGACGTTTGACGACAAGGTGAAGCCGGCGCCACACGATGTGTCGAATGCCTTCCAACGTTGGTCATAGCGATTTGTGGCATCGTGTGGCCGTGCGCTCATCGGATACATTTGCCGAATGCT